TACAGGAAGGCTTCCATATGACCTAGCATTTACATGGGTCTTAGAGATCCAAACTCTGGCCTTCATGATTGCACAGCAAATATTTTAACAATGAGCCATCAACTCAGCCCTGTTTTTTTTAGTTATTTTAGGGGCTAGAGAGAGAGCTCAGCAGTTAAGAGCACTGGCTGATCTTACAGATAATCCAGAGGATCAAACACCCTCTTCTGGTTTCTGTAGGCAGCAAGTAATTTCATGTGGATTTGTACCATGTTCTGTTAGTCTAAAGAATTCCCGTAGTATTTCTAATAAAGTAGGTCCGCTAGCAGCACAGCAGATTTCCTTGATCTTTTATTTTTGTTATTTTGAAGGATAGTTCTGCTGGATACAGAAATCTTGTTTGATATAATAATGGGGGCTTTGTTTATTTGTTTTCCCTGTCAGTACTTGGAATATGTCATCCCACTGATCTCTGGCTTCCTTGGTTTCTAATGAGTTAGTTTTCTCTTGCTGTTTTAAAGATTTTTGTTGTTTCTTACTGGATTTTGATAGTTTTGACTACGATGTGTTTAAAAGTTTGTTGATCTTCCTGGATGTTTAATTTTTATATTTCTTCAAGTACTTTTCCTATGGCTTCTTTCTGGGTTTCCCACTATGGTAATGCTAATGTGCTTGGGCAGTTTTAATTTAAAGGAGGATCAGAGCCCACTGTTATTTTATAAGGTAGGGAATACAAGTAAGGAGAACTAGCCAGGAAGTTATCCTAGTAATTGAAAACAATACTCATGGAAACAGAAGGAAATCAGTATCCTACACATTTCTGAATGGCTTGATAACTGAGAATAAAGACACTAAATTGAAATGGGAGACACTGAACTGGGCATGGTGGCCCATATCTTTAATCCCAGCACTTGGTGACGCAGAGGCAGGTGGATCTCTGTGAGATCCAGGCCAGCCTGGTCTAAATAGCAAATTCTAGGCCAGTTTGGGCTACAAGGAGATCCTGTCTCAAAAAACCAAAACAAAAACACAAGAGAGGGAAACTGGAGAATGGGATAATATGACAAATTATATTTCAGTATTATGTTTACTTCATAATTTTCTGTATGAATGCATTTCAGTTATTTTGTTTTATTGTTGATTTCTTTATTTATTGAGACAGGGTTTCGCTGTAGTCCTGGCTGACCTGAAACTTGCTAAATAGACCAGGCTGGTCTCAAATTCACAGCAGTCCGCCTGCCTCTGCCTCTTAAGTGCTGCGAATAAAGTGCACCATCACACCCAGCTCTTTCCCCTCCCCTCCCCTCCCCTCCCCTCTCATAGGGAATCTAGATTAGGGAAAAATAGGAGAACTACCAAGAGTGAGAGACTCCAAGGATGGAATACCCTGATTTCCTTATTCTTAATATCATACTAATGCACTGGTGGATTGCTTTAAAGCCATAGTCAAATAAAGAGACATACAAGTAAGGTATGTGTCAGTGGATTGAATGAATGGATGTATCTCATTAACCCTATCTTAGACCTTTTAAAAGAGGCCTTATTGACAAACCATATAATGCACTCATTTGTTTTAAAAAGCACCATTTTTAATGGTATTTATAGTATGTCTGTCAGTACTTTATTTTTTTATTATTTTTAAAAATATTATTTATGTGTATGAGTGTATTGCCTGCATGTATGTAAGTGCACCCATGTTGTACAATGCCTGCAGAGGTCAGAAGAGGGCATCGGATCCCCTGGAACTAGAGTTACAGATGGTTGTTAGCCATCATGTGGGTTCTGGGACTCAAACCTGGGTCGTCTGTAAGAGCAACCAGTGCTCTTGCTGAGCTATCTCCCCAGTCCCCTTTATTTCTTTTTATTACCATATAATATACCATTGTGTGGATATGTCACTTTTTTTCCTCTTTTTGAGACAGGGTCTCCCCATAGACCCAGCCGATCTAGAACTTGTTATGTAGAGCAGGTTGACCTTGATCTCAGATCCACTTGCCTCTACCTCCTGGTACTGGGATTTAAAGGCTTGTGCCACCACACCCGGTGATTATATCACATTTTACTCTTTCATCAGTTTGTGCACATTGGGTTGTTCCATTTTGGGGACCCTCGTGAATAATGCTGTTATGGACATACTATTTTATGGACTTCTGTTTTCATATCTCTAAGGATAGAAAATGTGAAACAAAACAAAACTAATAATGATATTTAACCTTCTGAGGAACCACTGGACTGTTTTCTAAATGGCTGCACTATTAGATGTTTCCATCAGTGCATCAGGATTCCACTTTCTGCACACTATCTGAGTTGGTGTTGTCTCTTTAGTACTAGCTTTCTTGGTGGATATGAGGTGGTATCTCATGATTTGCATTTCCCTGTGGCTCTGATGTCATCTTTCCATGTGCTTATTGTTGGTCTGTTTGTGTATCTTCTTGAGAAATGCTCTTTCATTCCTGTGCCCATTTTTGTAGAGGGGTTGTTTTTTAATGATTAGTGAAAGCTTTTAATCTGATCTGATCACGAGTACTTTATTCCACATTTGTTTTGCAAATCATTTATGTCAGTTGTCTTCATTTTCTTATTGGTATTATTTGAAAACAGAAGTGCTAAATTCTGATAAAACATAGCTTATTGTTTTTCACTTTGCTTTTGTTATTATTTAAGAAATCATTGCCTAGATGGATCTCTGTGAGTTGAAGGCCAGCCTGGTCTACCTACATAGCAAGCTCCAGACTAGCCCCGAGGCTACAGGGAGACTCTGTCTCAAAAAGACACCCCCCCCCCAAAAAAGAAAGAAATCATTGCCTAACTATAAATCATGAGGGTTTACTCTTGTTTTCTTCTAAGTGTTTTTTTTAATATAATTTATATTTTTATGTGTATGAGTGTATTGCCTGCATGTATGTGAGTGCACCCATGTCGTGCAATGCCAGAAAAGGGCATCGGATTCCCCTGGAACTGGAGCTAAGGATGGTTCATAGCTGCCATGTGGGTGCTGGGAATCGAACCTGGGTCCTCTGCAAGAGCAGTCAGTGCTCTTTACCACTGAGCTATCTCTCCAGCCCCCTCTTCTAAGTGTTTTTAAGTTTTACCTCCATGTTTAGGTTTGTGTTTTATGTAAGGAAAGAAGACTCCAGCTCTATTCTTTTGCTTGTAGAGCTCCCATTTTCCAACCCCCGTTTGTTGAAAAAAATTTTTTTATATTGTCTTGGCAGCCTTCGAATGCTGAATTCAATTCCATTGAGCTGTCCTTATATCAGTGCCATCCTGTTGGATTATTGTAGTTTTGAAGTAAATGTTGAAATCAGAAAGTCTTATGATCTATGAACTAGTTTAAACTTTTGATATGGGGGTAGTATGGACACTTGTACAGGTTAGAGGATAACTTTGTGGAGTTAGTTCTTTCCATCCACCTTACATGAGTTTAAGGAATTGAACTGAGGTTACCAAGCTTGTGTAGCAAATGCCTTTACTCACTGAGCAATCTCTCTAGCTTGACTTTTTTTTTTAATATTTTACTTAAAAATTATTTTGTGTGTGAGTGCCTACATGTGTGTAAGTGCACCACATGCACGCAGTGCCCACAGAGGTCAGAAGAGGGTGTCAGATTCCTTGGAACTGGAGTTACAGATGGTTGTTAGCCACCGTGTGAGTGCTGGAAACTGAACCTGGGTCCTCTGTAAGAATAGCCAATACTCTTAACTGATAAGCAATCTCTACAGCCCAATTTATTACTATTTTTATTCATGAATATGTGTGTCTGTATACATGAATGTGAGTGCTCACAGAGACCCGAAGAGGGTGTTAGATCTCTTGGAGCTGGAGTTACAGCAGTTATGAGCTACCTGATGTAGGTGCTGGGAACTAAACTTGGGTCCTCTGGAACAGCAGTACACACTGTCTGTCTGTCTGTCTGTCTGTCTGTCTCTGTCTTTTTGAGACAGGGTCTCCCTGTAGTTCCAGCTGACCTGGATCTCACTATGTAGACCAGGCTGGCCTTGAACTCATAGAGATCTGCCTCCCTCTGCCTCCCATAGTGCTGGGACCAAAGGTGTATGCCACTGCACCCGGCAGCAGTACACACTTTGTTAACACTGATCTTCTCTCCAACCCTAAAACACTCTTTTAACCTTTCAACTCATTAGGAAATGGAAACAATATTATTTCTACCCATTGTGTTCCAATGTTATCCTGGTCTGCTACTTAATATAATGTAGTTAACTATAGAGAAACAAAAATCTGTGATATTCAGACATAATGAAGAGTCAGTATCATTACTGTATTCTCCAAACCAAAAAAGCTTGCTTTTATAAAGGAATTTTTATTTTTCTTGAATTAGTGAAAGAAATACAGAGACCTATAAAAGCTATTAGATTACAGTTACAACTGGGAAACATAGGAGGAATTGGAGAGGAGAGAGTGAGGAGTGGATTTGATCAAAACACATATGCATGTATGAAATTCTCAAACAATAATTTTTTTAAACTTTTAAAAGTTAGCCAGATATGGTGGTGCATGACTTTAATCCCAGCACTCAGGAGGCAGAGGCAGGCAGATCTCTGTGAGTTGAGGCCAAACTGGTCTACATAGTGAGTTTCAGGTCAGTCGGGGTTTATGTGGTGAGAACCTATCATGCTGCACCCCCAAGTTACAATTGACAGTCTTAGTTACCAAGAAGTGCATGCATTTGGAATTGCTCATCTAAACTTGAATATCTCATTTACACAGCTACTTTAATTGCATTTTAAACTAAGATGCATATAGTAACACAGTAGGCAAAAAGTTGATACTGGAAATGAGTAGCTCTCATTTCATAAATAATGTAAACATCTTTGTAAAAGTACATATCATTTTATTTGGCAAAGATAATTATAAGAGGCAATTCTTTCATATTGTAACTTTCCATATAGAATTTCCTTTTCAGAAATTTTGCCTTTTTAGAATGTTACTAAGATTATTGATTGAGATTATAAATGATGATGGAATTATGTTCAATAAGAGAAATGTTATTCTCATTTTAGCGGAAGATCCATCCAAAAGCTATGTGAAACTAAGAGACTTTGTGCTTGCAAAGCTTTGTCAAGATTTGCCCTGTTTTTCCCAGGAAAAGTTAATGCAAGGATTCAATGAAGATATGGCGATACAAGCACAGCAGAAGTTCAAAATAAATAAGGTATATTTTTATTTTTATTTTTTTAACATTTTATTATTTTTATTTTATGTGTATGCGTGTATTGCCTGCATGTAGGTAAGTGCACCCATGTCGTGCAATGTCTGTGGAGGACAGGAGAGGCTGTGGGATAGATCCCCTGGAACTGGAGTTACAGTCAGTTGTTAGCTAACATGTGGGTGCTGGAATTCAAACCCAGGTCCTCTCTCCAGCCCTATTGTTTTTATTTTGTATGAGGAAAACATTAAAAATGTTTTTTTCTTTTTCTTTCTTTTTTTTTTAAAGCACCTAGCTTAACTATATTGTAAGGACATTAAAATGTGTAGGAAGTAACAGTGCTTAAACAGACTGAAGCCAGACTGCCAGGTTCAAGCCTAAATCTTTGCTCTATCACCTAGAACAATTTAGTTTACTGCTTTGTAGCTAAGTTTCCTTACTGTATTCTCCAGTGAGAACGTAACCAGCAGGGTTTTAGTTCATTTCAAAGTTCAAAGGGAATGAGAAGATGTATAGCAATACCACGTAGAATTGAGCAGAACAAAGATAGGCATGAATATCTTATTTTTGTTTTTTTAAAACAAAAATTAAACTTGACTAGCAGAATGACTCAGTGGGCAGAGCATCAAACTTGATGACCTGAACGTGATGCCAGAATTCATGTGGTGGAAGGAAAGAGCTAATTCCAGAGAGTTGTCCTCGGGAGCCCTCCACACATACTTTATGATATGAGTGCTCCCATCAATCGATGAAATTTTTTAAATCTTTTAAAGATTAGGTTGTAAAATAGTTATATCCCTAGAGACAATATTGGTGGGAAGAGGTGCTAGAGGAAAAATGTGTAACTTTTATTTTTTATATGTATGAGTGTTTTCCTTTCGTGTATGTAAGTGTACCCGTGCAGTGTCCTCAGAGGCCAGAAGAGAGCATCATATCCCCTGGAACTTGAGTTAGTGGCCATGTAGGTGCTGGGAACTGAACATGGTTCCTCTGCAAGAACAGCCATTGCTCTTCATTGCAGAGCCATCTCTCCAACCCTGTAACTTGCATTTTATACACTTTAAAAGGTTTTTTGGTTTTGTTTTGTTTTGTTTGTATTTTGGGGGGTTGATGGGGGGAAGCACGTGTATGCCTGAGCGTGAGTCAGAGGACAACTTGCCTGAATGGGTCTTCCACCATGTAGGTTCTAAGGATTGAACTCAGGAAGTCATTCTTGGTGACAAACATCTTTATCTACTGTGCCCATCTTACCAGCCCCTATTTTTTATGTTTCTAATATTTAAATTTTAAAGTAGTAAATATTTTAAGATGGGGATAGGAAAAAACAGATGACAGAGAAGTGAGGTTTTTTTTTTGTGTTGATTTGATTTGATTTTGGTTTTTTGGGACTATGTACCCCTGGCTGGCCTGAAACTCTCAGAGAACCTCCTGCCTCTGCTGGGATTAAAGGCCTGTGTCACCACTCCTGGCTTCTTTATCCTCCTTTCTTCTCATTCTATTTATAATTGGGGTGCTAGAGAGTTGGCTCGGTGGTTAAAAGCACTTACTGTTCTTCCAGAGGACCAGGGTTTAATTCCCAACTCTTGTATAGCTGTTCACACCAGTACTTAACTCCAGTTCCAGGAGATCTAACACCCTCTACTGGCCTCTGAGACACCAGGCACGTATGTTATGCACTTACATACATTCAGGCAAAACACTCACAAAATGTTTAAAATCCTATTTGGGAAATTTCATCTAAATCTTCAAATCTTGATTTTCCCTTTGAACTTTGAAACTAACCAAAAACCTGCTTGTTACCTTCAACAACACAATCTGAACTGAAACTCTCCATCTTCTACACTTTAATGGTTTCCTGTCTTTAAAATAAAGAACATGGGGGCTGGAGAGATGGCTCAGCAGTAAAGAACACTGACTGTTCTTACAGAAGTCCCGGGTTCGAATCCCAGCACTCACATGGCAACTAACAACTGTCTGTAACTCCAGTCCCAGGGGGTCCAACAGCCTCTTCTGCCCTCCAAGGGCATTGCACGACACAGGTGCTCTTAGTTACACGCAGGAAATACACTCATACGTCTATTAACTATATTAACCCCATTATTTATTGAGTAATGAATAGCTCAGCTTCAATGAAATGTGAACTCATTTTTTTAAGTATTTATTATTGGTTGTTTTTTTTTTAATGTGTATGCATGTATTGCCTGCATGTATGTAAGTGCACCAGTGCCATGCAATGCCTGTGGAGGTCAAAAGAGGGTGTTGGATCCCCTGGAACTGGAGTTACAGACGATTATTAGCTGTCCTGTGGGTGCTGGGAACTGAACCTGGGTAACCACTGAGCCATCTCTCCATCCCCATGAATTCATTTTTTTTAAATGATGATTTAGGGGCTGGAGAGCTGGCTCAGAGGTTAAGGGCACTGACTACTCTTGCAGAGGACCCAGGTTCGATTCCCAGCATCCACATGGTGGCTATGAACTGTCCTTAACTCCAGTTCCAGGAGAATCCAAAGCCCTCTTCTGACCTCTGCGGCATTGCACCACACAGGTGCACTCACATACATGCAGGCAATACACTCATACACATAAAATAAAAACAATAAATAAAAATTTTTTAAATGATGATTTAGCCAAAAGATGAATTAAACTTCCTAAATTGGGTACACTAAGTGCACTGTAATCTCGCCCCTGCCCACCTTACTAATTTCATCTTCTTGCCGATTTTCTACATGCTGTTGGCTTTACTGAACTTAAAATTTCCCACCTATGCCAAGTCTTTCTTTCCCTGTATAAATGCTGTTCCCTTTATCAGGAATACTTCCTTTGCTTGGCTGTAGTATTTGGTGTTTAGACTCAATTCACATACCTCCACAGCCTTCTACTAGCCTACTTCCCCACCAAAGTAAGTTCACAACTGAAGCAAGACAGAAAAAGAATGCTAGCTACTCTTTTGGCTTCAGTGATACCAAAACCAACCTTACTGTTTTAACTCTTACATATATACTGATACTGTTTAAATCCACACCCTTAGACCAGAATGTTCTGCCTCATTATCATTTCACACTCTCCCTAGTTACTCCTCATATATATCTAGAGTCCTTGCCCTATTAATATTCTTCACTTGTGCTGTTTTGTTTATATCTTCATCATGATTTTGTTTTGTTTGGAATAGTTCTTTTTGGTTATAGCTTGGCTTCTTAATTCGTGTCTGTGTCTCTGTCCATTACTGGGGATTGAATCTAGGTCTTAGGCATGATGGTCAAGTGCTCTAACACTGAGCTAAATCCCCCAGCTGTTGAATTGGTCTCTCTATCCTTTTGCTATCATTTGTAGGCATCTAAAACAATGATTTACTTAAAACTCAAATTTGTGCACATCACCTATATTGCTATTTAAAAATCTGATAACTTCTAGGTTAAAGTCCAGTTCTTTAGCCCTTTATGTCAGTCCCCATCCCCAGTGTCTTCCTCCTGTTGCTTGTTTTTTAGTTTATGATCTAGCAGTGACAAGCTTTTCTGTTGTGTGTGCATGTATATGTGTGTACACATACACACAGTGCCCTTCCATTTCTAGGATAATACTTAAAGATTCATCTTAGAGGCTGGGGATATAGCTCATTGATGGAGCACTTTTCTAGCATGTGTGAGTCCTTGAGTTAGATCCTAGCATCACACCAACAGGGGGTGGTGGGTAAGGAGAGGGGAATGGGGGAAGGAGACTGAGATTCAACACAGGTTTTATTTTCATTCTCATAAGAATCATCTTCTACCATTTCCCATATTCCCAGGCTATGTTACCATCATATCCTATATATATTTCTATCATTAAATTAGTAACATTTTGGTCATGTATGTTGCCTTTCTTGAGAACAGAGTATCTTTTACATTTCCTCTGCTATTCATCACAATTCCTTGCTGGTTACAGATATTAAATATATCCTATGTTCTTCTAGAAAAAAAAGTCACTATTTTTTAATAGGAAAGCGTTTTCATTTTCTTTTCATTTGGTTAGCAACATGCTAGACGGGTTTATGAAATTCTCCGATTGCTAGTAACTGACATGAGTGATGCTGAACAGTACAGAAGCTATAGACTGGATATAAAAAGACGACTAATCAGCCCATACAAGGTAAGAGTTTCAACACGAACAGTTAATAGAATAACCAATAGAACAATTAAGTTCTATACCAATATACCTATCTAGCTTTACATATTTAAAGTTTTTTAAAGATTTTATTTAATTTATGTATATGTATTTGGCCAGCCCAAATTAGATGAGATGGCTCAGTGGATAAAGGAACTTGCCAAGCCAATCCTGAGTTCAGTCCCTGAACCCAAATGGTGGAAGGAGAAAACTGACTTCCCTATTTTTCCTCTGACCTTCACACATACACCATGGCACCATACAGGCCCATACAAATACACATATATGCATAAAAAATAAATAAATATAAAGAAAAAAAATTTAACCCTAATATATGATACATAATACATGCACATATATATGTACGCATACACAAAGTAGAGTATGCAGTTTAAAGAGTATTAAAAATGCAATTTTAATAGTTTTTTTAAATATTAAAATGCAGTTTAACTCGAAAGTCAACTTACTTTATTTGTGTGGTGTAAGATAACTTACTTCAATAAAGGCTTATCTCTAGTATTCTATTGTACTTTGTCTTATAAGTGTTTGTTTGATTACAGATTTAAAGTAATGAGCATTGCACATTTGCCTAATAGTCCAAAGTTATTAAAGGGTTCCCTTTAAGTTTTAGAATTTATTAGTTTTAGAAATGGATTTATTATAGTACTGTTTTTAGAGTCGTTTTTGTTTTGTTCTGTTGTTAATTGTCTTTTGAGAAGCGAAATGGATTTATTATAGTACTGTTTTTAGAGTTGTTTTTGTTTTGTTCTGTTGTTAATTGTCTTTTGAGAAGCTAAGTAGACTAAGAATTCAGACTTTTAACTGAACTTTAGACTTTGAATCCTGGCTTCTTAGCTCACTACCTCTGTGAGGCTGGACAAGTTATCTTTTTTCTTCTTCTTCTTCTTCTGTCTAAATACCTATCTCATAGAGTTGTTAGCATTATGAAATAATATATGTAATTTCTGATTTCTATATGAAGTCAGTTGTTTGTTTTGAAACAGGGTCTCATATAGCCCAGGCTAGCCTTGAACTCCCTTGAACTGCCCCTACCTTGTTAGTGCTAGGATTATAAATATGCACTGTCATGCCCAGCTTGAAGTTCTTAGTTTTGTTTTGAGGAGGCCCCTCGTCATGTATATATATTTACCACTCTTTGACACAAATAACCAGGTCTTGTTAACTCTTTTTAGAGGGTCTGCAATTTGTGTGTATTTAAGCTTCCTTAATAAAGAAACTGCATGGGATAAAATTGGGCATATTCCTATTAATATTTCTAATATCGAAGACCTAAAATTGTAGGAATGTCAGCAAATATTTTCATTTAACAAATAACCATGTTTGCGCCTTAGAAAAAGCAGAGAGATCTTGCCAAGATGAGAAAATGCCTCAGACCAGAAGAACTGACAAACCAGATGAACCAGATAGAAATAAGCATGCAACATGAACAGCTAGAAGAAAGCTTTCAGGAATTGGTGGAAGACTACCGACGTGTTATTGAACGGCTAGCTCAAGAATAACGATTGTCCTATTCTATTCAGGAAGCTTCTACATTTCTGTACATTGTGCTGTGAAAACTCTGATGATTATTTTAATTTTAAAATCTTGTAACATTTTACTTACATTAAAAGTTATCTATGTTATCTTTAGTGGAATATTTTCTTTTTGAGAGATTGTATATTTTAAAATACTGTCTAGAGTTTATGAACATATATTCCATTAAAAAAAAGATGGCTTGTGAACTATTGCAATTGCTTTTCTTCTTAAAAAGTATAATAAATGCTTAGTTGTGGTATGTTAAGGTGTGATATGGTACTTAAGTATTAAAGACAAACTTTTTCAGTTTTATTTAAAACCTTAAGTTTTAGCTGTATGTGATGGCTCACATGTATAATCCAGCACTCGAGGCTAAAGCAGGAAAATTTCTTTGAGTTCAGTGCCAGTCTAGGTCACAGTGTGAGTTCTTGTGCCATAACCTAAAAACAAGCAGGCAAGGTGGCTCATTGGTTAAGAATGCTTACTAGGCAATCACAAATGGAGTGGGAATCCCAGTGCCCAGGTAAGAAGCTGGGCATCCAGCACATTCCTGAAATGCCAGCTCAAAAGTAGGTAGAGACAGGAGGGCTGCTGGAGCTTGCTGGTTTCCAGCATGGCCAAGAAAACACAAAGAAAGACCCTGCCTCAAAGGAATAGGCTGAGGGTGGTAGAGGAAGACACCTGGTGCCTGCCTTTGGCATCTGCACACACACATACAAATAAATGATAGAACTAAAACAAAAACATCTTAAATTGTAAGTTTTATTCATCCCCACTTTTAAAAACATTTCTTTGGGGATCCTCATTATTTCATTTTTCCTGGATGACTTTTTTGTCGGTTTTTTTAAAGTAGCATACAAAGTAAGGGATTTTATTATAGCAGTTTCACATGTATTTTGTGTTGATCCTCCTCCCTCATTGCCACCCCCATGCTGGACCCCTGTATTTTTATTTTTTAAAAAATATTTTTTTTATTTTATGTGTATGAGAGTGTATATAAGTGCCTGCATGTATATAAGTGCACCCATGCCATGCAGTGCCCTCAGAGGTCAGAAGAATGCATTGGATCCCCTGGAACTGGAGTTAACAGACACTTGCTAGCTGCCATATAGGTGCTGGGGATCAAACCTGGTCCTCTGCAAGAACAGTCAGTGCTCTTAACTGCTGATCCATCTCTCCAGCATTGACCTCTGTTTTTGTTTTTGTTTTTTAAATAAATGTTCCTATATTAGGTTGCCACCAGTTGTGATGGTAGTGGTGATGGATTTTGTTTTATTTTATTGGTGGTTGTATTTCAAATAAATTCCTGCCTAATTTTACTTATTGTTTGGGGGTAAATATGAGAAACCAGAAAGTAGATGCAACCTGAAACCTGTTTGATATCAGATATTACCTGGAGAAAATTCAGATATTAGCATAAAATATAAGTAATATAAGACCAAAATGTTATTAAACAATTTAAGCCTGGGATGGTGGTGCACCTATAAACCTGCACTCAAGAGACTGAGGCAAAAAAATGGTGAGGCAGGCCTGAGCCATGTAACAACTTGCCACGAAGTAAGAAATTTATACACCATATGTAATATGAAAAGCATATTTGTTAAAGGTTTTCAGTAAGGATACCAAAATGTTACAGTACAAGAAGAAATCAAAGTAAGGATAAGTTGTTATGTAATATTCTCATTTCTAACAGAGTAAAATAACAGATACAGAACCATTATAAGTAAAGCTTCATATTTAGAATGTGTCAGCAGTGAACCAGGTGTTACAGAACATTAGAAACAGATGGTAAGGATCCTAGCAGACAGCCTGAGAGACCTCTGTCGGTGTAGTGGCTATGATCTCAACACACTGCCAGAGTGCCGGGTTTTGGCCTCCCTCTGACATGGACTGAAAACACAGGGGACTGCCTGAGAGTGCCCAGATCCTGCCTCCATGTGGTGGTGAGCTTCTCTTAATTGTGCCATACCCATCCCCCTACCTGGGATTTCATGAGACCCCTCCTAAGACCCCAGAGCAGACCTGGCTTTGGTAGGCTAAGGCTGAGATCCTTAGCAAACAGCCTGAGAGGGTGGGCTCCGAGCTCCATCCGTGTAGCGGCTGTGATCTCAGCACACCACTAGAGACTGCCAAGTTCTGGCCTCCCTCTGGTATAGAGGCTGAGAACACAGCAGACCAACTGAGAGTCCCCAAATCGACACTCCCTGCCCCCCAGGGAATTTCCCATATTTTCTCTGAGTTCTGCTAATAGGGGTTTTCCAAACCTTAGAAGGAAGTCTGAGTGTACCTGACTGGAACCTGACTTGGGCTTCTGTGGGTACTCCTCAATAGCTGATCTGAAGCCATCAGTTCCCTCCAAAATAAAACTTGAGAGAACAGTCGGGCGTGGTGGTGCACGCCTTTAATCCCAGCACTTGGGAGGCAGAGGCAGGCAGATCTCTGTGAGTTTGAGGCCAGCCTGGTCTACGTAGGGAGTTCCAGGTCAGCTGGGGCTACAGGGAGACCCTGTCTCAAAAAGACCAAAAAAAAAAAAAACCAAAAAAACCTTGAGAGAACCTGAAACCTGTACCAACCAGCTTTACATAACCAATAAGGAAAAGGCCTTGGCACCCCAATAATACAAACAGAAGCATACGTCAACTTAATTTTCATATCAGAATCATAAACAACAAAAGAAATTCACATGCCAAAATCACAACGAAAGAATAATAAAATGGAAAGTCAAAACACTATGTCCCCACCAAACTCCATCAGTTCTGTAGAAGAGTTCTACAAGGAGAACCCCTATAGATAACCCAGGATGCTGAATTTAAAAGAACAATCATAAGCATGATCAAGGAATTCAACAAATTTAAAGAACACACGAACAAACAACTAAAAGAAGATAGGGATGAACTTCTGAATGAATTCACAAAAGAATCATTGAAAACTCAGGCAGAAATGAAGAAGGAAGTGAAAAACTCAATAAGCCAATTTGAAATAACAGGAAAGCCTCACTGCTAGAAAGAATGAAGTGGAAAACAATATCAACACTGGAGGATAAAGTAGGAGAAATGGACCACTCGACCAAAGATTATGGAAAATTTAAACACGGAATAGAATATGCAAGAGATCTACGGATCATAGGAATAGAGGAAGGAGAAGAATTTCAGGTTAATGGTGTTGACCAGATCTTAAACAGGATTGTAGAAGAGAATTTCCCAAAATTAAGGAAAGACATCCCCATACAAATACAGGAAGCACATAGAACACCAAATAGACAGGATCAGAAAAGAAACTCCCCATGACATATCATAGTAAAAACACTAAATGTACAGAAGAAAGAGAAAATACTGAAAGCAGCAAAATAAAAAACAAGTCACATACAAAGGAAAGCCCATCAGAATTACAGCTGACTTA